CACGCATGCACACAAACCGAGGACCGACCCTAAGGCACCGAATGCCACTCTAACAAGACATGGCAGGGCATGGAATATGGCATATTAGCATGCAAATTTAAGTAGCAAAAAGTGATGCAAAACAGCCCCGAAACGTGACAATATAGCACCCGATGCATGAAATGGTCCCAAAATGCAAGATTAAGCACATGAAATGACTTGTAGCTACATCAAGCATGCATTATTTGATCATGACATGTGAAGACAGATTCAAGGAAGCCCCAAAAAAATCATGTTTACAGTTTCAAGCAAGGCCAAACAGCAAACACAAATAGGGCTAAACCGATATGCAAAAATGGCCCTAAATGTGAGATAAAGAAGCAAGTCACAGCTGCTGGCATCAAAAAGATGAGGGCCCTTCAACAATGTTGAAGAGGGGCCCAAAATATGACCTTTTACAGTTTATGACCGGGCCAAAAACAGTACACAAGCATGCTCAAAATACCATGCAAAATAAGGCCAAAAAGAGAGCTATAACACAAAGTACAAAAAGGATGCCTCAAACAATAAATGACCCTTAATGAAACATGAAGAGGGGGTCAAAATAAGTCTGTTTTAAGTTCGGACCAGAGTCCAAAAATAGAAGCACAAGAGGCTAATAAATCATGCAAAAAAGGAGCCAAAAAAGGGATATAAAGGCAAGTGGAAGATAGAGGCCTCAAACAGTGATGAGCCTTTCAACAACATTGAATAAGGGCTCAAAATAAGCCACTTTAAATTTTATGACATGCCTCAAAACAATTTATACATAGGCCAAAAATACTACACAAGAAAATGGCATACAAGGGAGATAATGAAGCAAGTGCAACAAAGAGGCCTCAAATAGTGAGAGGCCCTTAAAAAAAAGTTAAAAGGAGCTCAAAATAAGCCTAACTCCAGTTAGGGTTGGAGCCCAAAACAGCAAGCACAAGGAGCTAGAATATGAACCAAGAAAAGGGACAAAAAGAGGAGAAGAGGACTTACCCTTGAAGACTAGTCTTTGGCACCCTTTTGGCTTGAGATGCAGCACTCCTAGGCCTTGAAGAACAACCTCCAGCTGCTGGAATGGAGGATGGAAGGGTGGGGCTATGGGTTGGTGAAGAAATGAGTGTAGGACTTAAGGGTTTTGAGCTTGGAAGAGAGGGAGAAGAAGGTGTATGTATGCAAAGCTCTTAGGGCAATTTTGTAACCCTAATAACAGAGCTAGAGCCCCTGTTATATAGCCAAAAAGGGGGGGGAAAAGGGGGGAAAAATGGAGGGAAAACAATCCAAGTTTCCCTCAAAAAATGCACCCCCCCGGATACACAATCTGGGGGGAAAAGAGATGCATATTTGGAATGTGCCTGCAGCAAGGAGCATGGCCGGCCGGTTATTGAGGTTGCAGGTCGCCGGCCAGCTTTCCCCATGGCCGGCCGGCCTGCCAAGGGTCAAAATGGTCAATGAGAATTAATGGCCGGCCACCACAGAAAGAGGGCCTCCTATGTGTGCACAACACAACCCTATGGTCAAAAACTGGAGAAAGTGAACCAGGAGAGAGAAGAACCCACTTTTCAAAGGGGTTCAAAAGGTTCAAAAGCAATTACTGGCCGGCCACCAAATATTGGTGGCCTCCCAGATGTGTACATCACAAATATGGGTTTAGGGTGCAAGAAAATGGCCCAAGGGTGGTCAACATTGGCTTTGAAATGGGAGAAATCAAGCGACGGATGGCGATGAAGGGATAAAGTTGGCTGACAGAACAATTACTGGCCTCCCATCCTTCTATGACCTTCCTAGCAATGAAACAGAGGTCCCTGCCAAAAAAGAACCAAAACCGATGCAATGAAGATTCGGGGGCCGCAACGCGCAGCCCGAGGCCCCGAAAACTGACCGTTAGGCACCGGGAGTGGTGTTCGACCACGAAGTTGGTCTCTCGGACCACAGTGTCCCTCAAAAGGGAGCAAATAAGATGTATGCTAGAAACCGGAGCAAACGGAGATGGTTAAGCGGTCCCGAACCGAGGCACACGACCAACGGCTCCGAAAAACCGAAAACCGGGCTCCAAACGGGCAAAATGGCCTACGACCACTGAACGTATCCTACGGCCACTGAGAGATGACCTACGAGACCTCTCCCTCCCTTCGGTGAGAGAAAACAGAGAAAATAGAGCCTGGTCCGCAAACCGAGGCAAAGCACAAAAGAGTCCGAAAGTTCGGAGGCAAGGCTCGCAGCCGAGACTCTGAAATTTCTGAACAAGCATAATATGCAATATCACCGAGTGCTCAACTGGTGACGTCTGAGTCTCAAGGTCGGTCAAAAATGGGGTGTCTACAGTAGTTAGGACCTAAAGCTTGGGATTGGCCTGGTTGTCAAGATCTGGTGCTTGGGGATATACTCTCTCCAAAGTTTCAGGTCTAAAACTTCTTAGCATTGCTTGATTAACATGAATAATTATAAAGCGATTAATAATTCCATTTATTATGTATTTGTTTGCATCTATTTTTGTCAAAATTCTCTGTCAACAGGTGTCAGTTTGGGACACATGCAATAAAGTCACAGTTGGAGTTCTTTATTAGTTAAAGAACTATGTGGCATAAAGATAGTAGATACATGTGCAAGAGGGCAGAAGCATGTTATGGGCAAGGATAGTGGAGGAGTAGTTTCATGCATTAAGATCATGGGCTAGTTTCCAAGGGACGTTGATGCTAGTGGTAATTGGGCCTATCGATCATGATCATTAATTGAAGGGAAAATGTGTGATGATATGGTTAGAGGTTTAAAAGTGTTGTTAGGTCAAATATAGAAGGTTTAGAGAAGTTGTGGAGGTTGCAAGCAGCTTTGGGCTTTGGCAGAGTGGTTCATTCTGTCGAAGTAGTGTTAGAGATAATGGGGGACACGTGGCTGGTTTGTGTTAAGGCTTGGAAATAAGAAAACAATTGCAATAGCAGTTGGGAGATAACGGAATGTAGAATTTTAGGAAGTGGAGTAATGGGTCAGACAAAGAAAAGGAAGTTATAAAAGTCAAAGATTTGCAGAAAGAAAGAACATCAACAACATAACAACTTAACTTTTATCTTAGGAGTAGTTTCTCTTAATTTAGGAGTAGTTCACTACAGGAAATATAGGATTTAACGGCGTTCATTTAACGGCGCTTTTTTAAACGTCACTGTTTTTAACATTTAACGACGTTTTATAAACGTCGCATTTTATTTTGAATAAAACGGTACCGTTTAGGGAATCGAAGTCATTTTTTCAACGCCTTCACATGTGTTACAATAATATTATTCCTCGCTCTCTCTCTTAGCTCTGTCAGAATCACAGAACCCTTCTCTCTCTCTCTCTCTCTCTCTCTCTCTCTCTCTTCAAGCCCTCATTTTGAATCTGGGAAACCTTCAGTCTCAGAGAAACCAATCCCTCAAATCTCTCACTCACCTGATCGCTGGCCCTCTCTCTAAACCCTTCACTCTCAGATATTACGATTCAACCTCAGAGTGATATCGATTTCGAAGTTCTTTCTCTCTCTTTCGATTTGGAACCTCCACCGCCACCACCATCTGCATCGTTGACTAAGGTGAGCACCACTGTCTACAATCTCAATTTCGTATTCTCTCTCTCTCTCTCTCTCAAGCTCTTCCTTCCGTCGATTCTTCTCCTAGGGTTAACATATGTTTAAGATTTCAAATTTGAGATTTCTCATTCAAAAATATATGTTTTAGATCTGGGATTTCTCATTCAAAAATATGTTTGAGATTTGAGATTTCTTATTAAAAAATATATGTTTCAGATCTGAGATTTTTCATTCAAAAATATATATTTATGACTTGAAATTTCTCATTCAAAAATATTTGTTTGAGATTTGAAATTTCTCATTTGAAAATATACAGTCTTTCCTTATTAAAAATTTTCATTCGAAACAATATCCTTTTAGATATGAGATTTTTATTCTAAAATACATGATTCAGATCTGACAGTTTTTATTTGTTTGAGATCTGAAAACTCGCTGGGATTTTTTTTGGGTATAGTCTTCTTTTTGATTGTTGATTTTTGAGGGAATTTGATTACTCAATGTTTCGCATATATGAATGACATCCTTGATGAGGTCTGCTGCTATGTTCTGTGTGTTATCAATTCATGCCATATTCATGGAACAAGTGTAATAAATTATTGACAATCTATCCTTGAATGTTATGAGTTTACCTTCAAATAGTTTATGCCAATGGATTTGTTTTACTATTTTCAACTTATTTTAATAGCGAATTTGAGGTAGTTTGCTATTTGAATAGCAAAATAACAACTCATTTTAAGGTAAAAAATTAATATTTTCATGCTCCTGATGCTGCTAGTTGACTTGGTTTATCATGTATTTGCTAATGTTCAATGATCCACTAATCTAGTTATAGTTGGTAGTCAAAATGCAAAGAGAAGAGGCTGAAAATGATTAGGCTTATTTTAATATACAAAATTGAAAACAGAGACAAAAAAATTGTAAGTTTTCAAAATTAACAGAAACCCTTAATTCAAAAATAAGAGTGTGTGAAGCTCTGTGCACTCTGTCTCTCTCTGCGTGGCTGTGTGTGTGGTATGAGACAGACTTGATGGACGAGTGGATGAATAAGAGAGTCATATGTTATCTACATTCTTATTGCCATATTAGGACTTCTGATCTCAAGCATATATAGCAGTTCAGTTGTTTTTCTACATCATTCTTTAGTACAGAAGCACTTTCATATTTTCGTAACTTCTTGAATCCCTAAAAAATGATTGCTTGAATTTGCTCATGCATGGCATTGTGGTGCTACTTCATCTAGCTATATTAACCCTTTTTTTTTTGTGAACATGGAATATACTCTACAATTTAATGAAATTTGTCAAAAACTCGTTCACTAATATGAACTCATTGACAAAAGGTCAAAAAAGAGATAGAACGGTGCTATGAGCTCATTCACAGGCTGGGAATGGGAGTCGTGTATTTAATTGGGGAAAGAGGCAGGTCACTCCATATTTAACCTTCCATGTATATACTTATTTATGTAGATGTATATGGAGTGTGGAACTGCAAGTGAACAACACAAGATACATCGTAGGGAAATTTTATGGTTGCTAAAAACAGGTTCATTACTGAAAGTTTACATTTTGGTATGGCATTTAAAGCTTACAAGTGGAATGTCACTAGTTTGGGAGAAAACTTGTGTGACTGAGCTTGTCTATTTGTGTGAATAAGTTTAGTTTTCAGTACATGTTTTTGCAGACATAGCACAATAGTGTATATTATATTCATATATTCTGGTACAATTGAAACTTAGGTGCTCTGCTCTTGCAAAATTTAGTTATGATCTTTTTTTCTATTTGTACCATTTAGGAATTTTTTATTTTTTATTTTTTATTTGAGCTAGAGAATTAGCAATTCAAATTATTGTCATCAAAAGAAGTGTTTTTAGGGAAGCAAGGAAAACATTGTGGATCAAAGACCTGCTAAGGTTTTTTGACCTTACAACTGATTGGTCCAACCTAAGAACATGAGCATGATCCAACGAAGAAGTTAATGGATAGTAGATTTCATCTAGTATATATATGATTCATTCAAATTATATTAATTGAGTTTTTAAATTGGGTAAATATTAGTCATTGTCTTATGATTTGGCTTTCATTCACTTCTTCATATTTGTATGCATCTAGGAGTTGGTCCTACCATTATGAAAACCTGTGTCCTGGTTTGTGCCTTTTGTTCATTAATTCATCATCTAAGAACGGTGGGTTACGATATTTTGTGATTTTCATCTATTACTGTCAATAAGTTTATCATATTGGTGATTTAAGTGTTTTCCTTTCATATTGTTTTTCTTTTTCCAATGCTTTTTGGGTTAAATTGAATTTCTTTTGCCTCAGGCACCATGGTTGCAACGGTTGGACTCTTCGTTCTTTTCGTTTTGGGCACTAGCTGGGCATGTGATGCTAGAGAATTAACGACAACCGAACTCTCTGGTAGAGAAACGGTGATATCTGATGTTTCAGGTAGCTCTCTTTTTTCTTTTTTCCTCTTCCAAATTTATATAATTTTAAGATTTTAATGTTCACAGCACATGATACTTAAGTATATATCCAAATAAATCAATGTTTTCTGGTTACAGTGTTGCAGATAAATCACCAGGAATCAGAAGGCATAATTAAAGCTTCAGAAGATATTGGAAGGAATGAAAATGTGTGCACGCTATGTGAAGAGTTTGCTGCCAAGGCAATTGAGTACCTCGAGGACAACAAGACTCAAACGAAGATCATTGATATCCTTCACAACATCTGTGCTCGACTGATCCCTTTTGAGCAAAAGGTAGTAACTGACATAAATGCCATTGGATTTGAATAAACTTGTTTGTTCACCATAATCCCGAGCTTTAGGCGCTGTCAAGTTTCTCATGCCTAATTTGTAAACACTAATAGGATTAATGAATTCCAATCATCAGCTGATCTCCAAGAAATACAATTATAAATTGTATCTTTCAATTTACAACTGCAAATTACCTTTGTGACTTTATTTTGTTCTTCAATGTGGATTTCATGTCTAAAACTCATTTCTATCTCTAGAACATTTTTTTTCTAGTTGAGGACGATAAATGATATTGAGTGATAGGTCAAACTCGTAAATTTATCTTATATGTGTCTTGAAGCATAAATATTTCACAATCTATCTCAATGTACATGGATATTTAGTTTTGTTTTTGCCTTTTAGTTCAGTTGGAGATAATTGAGCTGCTTCTGAAAGCATGTGATGCTGTGGAGAACTATGTCAAAAAGGTTAGAAACATTTTAGTAGCTTAAGTAAGATGAACAATCCATTTTGTGACTCCAATTTATGCTCCTCTCTTTTTTTGATTCTGTTATTTCAATTCTTTGGGCAGTGTAAGACTTTGGTTTTCGAATACGGACCGTTCATCTCTGAGGAGAAATGGAGGTTCAACTTCTAGCTTTTATTGGTACTTAGATTCAAGTGGCATCTCTTGTGGTGTATTTTACATGGAGATACTTTGATGTTTTGTTTATTATCTCCTAGGGAAATCACTGTTACAATTTACATGACTGCTTTTTTTCTTAATAGTTCTAAGCTGAAACAAATCATGTGTTTGGCTCAACACTAGTCCATTCCATGCATTTAATTTTTTATATTCAGTGAATTGATGATTGAGATATAGTTATAAGATTAGTTGTACATAATTATTCATTTCAACCATCTCATTGCTGATCAGTAGATCATTTTATGGACTTTCCTCTTAATTCCAGAAAATTTTAAAATAAAATGAATTTAGGAGGTATTTGGCTTTGAGTTTGGAACTTTACGGCCAATGAAGTATGAACAAATTGCAGAGTTGCTCAATGGTATTGCTGAGAGGTTTGATTGGGATAAAATAATGGGGGGTGACAACATTATTGGACTCAAACAGGTAAACTTCTCTTCCATAACGTTTTCAAAATGCAAAAACTTCTTCTCTAAATCCATGGTAACTGGTTAGTTTTGAACCCTTTTCCAGTTTATACATTGCTTTGTTATGGATGGTGATGCTCGACTTTTTGGTTCAAAACCAATAAACATTTGTGATTCTTGTTATTCAATTTTGGCTTTTACTTTTGGTGAGTTCTAAATAGCGACTTTGCATTAATTTTGTGCAGCGAAAGCAAAGCATATCACTGTAACCTGGGGAGCAATTTAAGCTTAGTGGTGCCCCTCTGGAAACATTGCATCAAACCTGTGCTGAGGTTAATTCACACCTTTATCAGGTTTGTGTAAAACTTTAATTTTAGCATATAGATGAAGACATGTAATTATTTTATTATCAAGTCGTCAATTATGAGAAGATGTATATTTGCAATTCTCAAATCATATATAATAGATGGCCTTTTTATTTATTTATGTTAGTCTGTGAAGGTGGGACTTTTATTCTAAGCCTCTGGTATGATGTACAAGGACTTCACCAGCAAAGCTAGCTAGCACCTTCAGTCATTTTCATTTATTTATGTTAGTCTGTGAAGGTGGGATATTTATTCTAAGCCTCTGGTATGATGTACAAGGATTTTTATTTATTTATGTTAGTCTTTGAGCATTTTTATTTTCTGAGGCATCCAACCACAAAAATCCCCTATTTGAATGGTAAAATGAAAACTTAAACTCAAATCAGTTGTTTGAATGGTTTGTTATGGACTTGAAAATTCATTGATATAAATCACTAAAATTAAACACTTGAGCTACATACCAACAACAATAAAAAAGAACATAAAATCCAATAAAACACTTGAGCTAGATAGAGTCATTTTCATGGTTTCAAAAGAACAGATTTTTTGAAAGGACAACCGAATTCCATGGTTTCATGTATTTATGTCATACGTGGTCCATTTTACTTTTTAAATTTATTTTTCATGTTATGCTTATTCTTCTTGGGCAACTCTTATTTATTTTCTGTTTTCCTTCTTTTTAAGGATGAATTTCTTAAGCAATATTTTGAGGGAAGAGGGCGGTTTTGATTACAAGAAAGCAATTGTTGATTCAATTGTTATCCTTATAAGAGACATCCTAGATGCCAAAGAAAATGGGCTACTTCACCTTTGTGAATTTTGCGATATCTTATAATTCACTATGTTTCTTTATTCTGAGAAGAGGAATGGTTAACCATCTGTTTGCAGGTTCGTGATAAGGCTACTCTATATCTGAATATGCTTGAAGACAATGGTTGGAAATCAAAAATCTGAGTAGGTGACATTCTATTTGAATAGACAAAATTGGTGCTGGAAGGCTCTGATCGTGCCTACTTTCTTGAAGGAGAAAAGCAATCTCTTTACCAAGACTAAGGTAATTATGGACTCTTTCAGTTGATGTCAGTGTAATTTAGTGTAAATTTAGTAACTTCAGCCTTTCATTACATCTTAGCAGAGTGAAAATTGCTTAATAAATCCGATTAAATTTATGTGTGTGTTATAAAAGCAAGGACCATTGATCTCCATTGAGTATGAAATATCATCTAATTGGTTGGTAACTATGTCAAGTTGCAGAATAGAATTAGCTTCATTAATTTATTTGTCTATTTTCTTCATGGTTGAGTTAATGAAATGTATGTGTGTTTTAAAAGCAAGAATATAAACCTGTATATTTTGACCCTTCAACTATGAAAATGTATTACTTTCACACCGTCTAGACCACCTTCAAAATGGGTGTACTTGTACGATTTAATAGTTGAGGGGTCAATATGAGCGGGTTCATAGATGAGAGGAGTAAAGTGATATTCACTAATAGTTTGAGGGGGTCTTGGGGTAATTGACTTATTTTATTTCAAATGCTTGATTTTCATGTGCTCCTCTAGCCATGAGGTGTATGTGCTAGTTATGTAGTACATACAGCTACATTTTGTTTCTTATGCATCAAAACCATCAAGCTCTCTTACCCTTAACTCGTTGATATTAGTTCCTTTGCAGAGTGGCTGATGTTCTCTCTGATTATCTTGGAGGGATGAATGAAGATTTGATCAAGGATAACTTTGTTATTGTATATGAGGTATTTATACAAAATCTTGTTTTAGTGCTGATCGTATTTTTAAGGAAATGGTTGTAACAATTCTCAGTATAACTATCTTCCTAGAACTAGTGTTTTGGTTCAAGGAGCTGTTATAGGTTTTGTGTACATATGTCACAGGGATCTTCTATGATTTAGGATATTGAAATCAGGGTTATGTACTAGTCATGAATATTATCTTTTATATACACACATTTAGTGATCAATAACTAGATTGTTTACTTTAGTAGTTGATTAAATAATATCTTTGATATTGGGTTTTTTTTTTAATAAGATGACAATTTTATGCATTATAGAGGGGCTCAAGTCCAACCTTTAAATGATTAGGACTGTTTCTATATGTGTGGATGCATGTGTACGTGCACGTTGTTTGTCTTGGCTACATCATACATATTTTGCAATTTGAACGTGGCTACAATTCTTTCTTTTTAATGATTGATATCTGGTGTTTATTTTTTTTGAAAAATTATTGATCTCTTGCCTACTCTTGTTCACTAATATTCATGTAAGCTTTATGTGGTACTTTAAATGATTCATCTAATATTAGACTGCTTATCCTATTTTTTCTACCATAAAAGGATATTCTAAACTTGTGACCATTTTTCTTAAAGAGCCTCACCGTCCTTCCCCCATTTCCTTACTTCAGCTTTCTTCTCTTTACCTTCTCCCAAGGTTGGTCAGTTTTGTTATAACTCAAAGTGACCTTGATATTTTTTGGCTTGCTGCAACTTGCAGCTTTTAGATGAGATGATAGATAATGGATTCCCTCTCACAACAGAGCCTAACATCTTGAGGGAGATGATACCTCCTCCAATATTGTTAGCAAAGTGTTGAGTGTTGTGACTGGCAACAGTTCCAATGTGAGCAACACCCTTCTAGGTGCAACAGCAACTTGTGTTCCATGGAGGGCAATGGACCTGAAACATTCAAATAATGAAGTTTATGTTGATCTTGTTGAAGAAATGGATGCAATAATAAACAGGTCTGTAGTTAAAGATTTCCTGTATCTATTTTCGTTAGATACTCTCTTGGTAATTTCAGTTTTCTTCTGTTCTTTCAATGTTGGTAATTTGAAATTTGCTGAGTTCTTAGAATGTGTTCTGGGGTTACATGCCACTGATATCGTATTATGAAATTTCATTTTATCATGCTTATCTATTTCTATTGCATTTGCATTGAGATTACAAAGTTGCTGATGCTGATCTTTTCTTTTTTCCTTGTTAGACATTGGTCAATTTAATGCATTGTATGATGCTTGCTATCCAGTTCTGAAAACTGAGTGGAATATGTTAAAGTTTGTGGGAGACGTATCTGCAAAAGAGGTACATGAGTGAAGACCATTGATTGTTTGGTCATGTATCTTTGTACTAGATTTGATATTTTATTATTTGTGTTTCCTACTTCTTATGATTATATATCTTTTTTGTTGAGTTGCATTTTATCTGACCCTGCTATATAATGTACAGTCCAATGCAGGAATGCTGGATGGGGACTGTAAAGGATTTCTGGATCAGCTGTTTGAGACCAACTTTAAGACTAATTTTAGGCAACTGAATGCTAAGATACTAATATGTGTGTTTTGGAGGTTACTTGGGGGGTTTATTTCAACAATTCCTGCAGATGTCTCATTGGTTGGTGATGCCTGTTATTTATTTGTATATCCGTTTTCTCTTTTCCAGGTAGAAGACTGCCCCATAATTAGTAGCTGGGCTAAGT